GCCAGGTGTCGGGGAGCACTCCTGTAATTCCTTTGACTTTGGGAGACAGGGGCAAGAGGATCATAAGTTCAAGTCCAGCCTTAGCTACTTTGTGAGGCCTCAGCAATTTAGCAAGATTCTTTCTAAAAATAAAAAATAGAATGGATTGTGGATTTAACTTGTTGGTAAAACATCCCTGGGTTCAATCCCCAGCCACTCCCTGCCACCACCACTTTGTAAGCAAACAAAGATAGGTGAAGCACTTTTTTCATGTAAATCTGAACAATAACACAATTGTTTAAATTTTAGTTTCAAACTTATTTAGAGGATTTGGTTTGGAGATGCTGGTGTTTTCACCCTACCTGTTATTTTTTTCTTTGGAACTGGGGATTGAACCCAGGGATGCTCTACTACTGAGTTACATTTCCAGTCTTCTTTATTTTTTCTTTTGAGACTAGGTCTCTCTACGTTGCTGAGGCTGGCTTTGAATTTGAGCTCCTCCTGCCTCAGCCTTGGTGGTTGCTGGCATTACAGGTGTGCACCACCACATGGGACCAGACTTCTTTTAAAAACAGAAGGGGGAAAAAAGGAAAGAAAGGAAGGAAGGTAAGAAAAAAGAAAAGAAAATGATTATTATACAAACCAGACTAGTAATAAGAAGCAAAATTTTTAGGACTGGGATGTGGTTAAGTGGTAGAGCATTTGCTGGCCCTGGATTCAATCGCCAACACCCCTGTCCCTTTAAAAAAAAAAAGGAACTTATTTAACCAACAGTAGACAGGACTTCTGCAGAGAAGTGGATGGATGCTGGTGGACCTGGCTCCTTGGAGGGATACAGGAATACAGTAGCCTTAGAGGGAAACCAGGGAATAGCTGTACTAAGGCTTTGCTTAACCCAGTCACCCAGGATGATTCTCTATTGTCAGTCAGTTTTTATGTGTCACAAGAAGTGAAACCAAACTAATTTGAAAAAGTTTCTGATAGGAGGTGGGTGTGGTAACCCACACCTGTAATCACAGTGACTTTGGAGGTTAAGGCAGGAGAATCACAAGTTCAAAGCCTTTGTTAGCAATTTAGCAAGATCTTGTTTCAAAATAAAAAGGGCTGGGAATGTGGTTCAGTGGATAAGTGCCCCTAGATTCAAACCCAGGTACCAAGAAAAAAAGGGAACAGAAAATAAAGTCTCTGATAGGGGTTAGCATCATGGCACATGACTGTAATACAAGCTACTGGGGTGGCTGCGGGAGGAGAATTACAGATTTGAAGCCAGCCAGGGCAGTTTAGCATGATCCTGTCTCAAAATAATAAAAATAAATAAGTAAAAAGAGCTGGGCATGTACTCAGTAATAGAGCACTTGGCTGGCATTCAGGAAGCCTGGAATTCAATTCCCACTGGGGGAAAAAAATCAAATCTCTGATAAAAGGCATGATCAATTCTTCTTCTTTCTTCTTCTTCTTCTTCTTCTTCTTCTTATTCTTATTATTATTATTAAATATTTTTTAAAAATATGGACACAATTTATGTTTATGTGGTACTGAGTATTGGACCCAGTTCCTCACACATGCCAGGAAAGCACTCTACCACTGAGCCACCACCCCTTGCCCTGGATTTCTTTTAAAACCAGACATTTTTACAAACTGATAGCCCCAAAATGACAAATGGAGGAGAATAGGTAGATCTAATGTTTGAGTGACTAAAAGAGGTGTGGAAATGGCTGTAAGACATGGTGAACATATTTAATCTTTTTTTTTTTTATATTTATCTTTTAGTTTTTTATGTAGACACAATATTTTACATTTATGTGGTGCTGAGGATCGAACCCAGTGTGTCATGCATGCTAGTTGAGCACTCTACCACTGATCCACAACCCTAGCCCTTAATCTTACCAAATTATACTGGAAAAATAGATTAAATGATAAATTTTATATTACATATATTTTATTTCTTTATTTTTCATTACTGGGGATTGTACCCATGGGTGCACTGCCACTGAGTTACATCCCCAGCCCTTTTTGTTTTTGAGACAGGGTCTCCTTGGATTGCTGAGGATGGCCTTGAACTTGTGATCCTCTTGCCTAAGCCTCCCAAGTCACTGAGATTAACAGGCATGTGTCATGATGCTCAGTTTACATACATTTTACAATGAAAAAAAAAAGCCTGAAAAAATGAAAACAGATTAAGCTAACATCTATTTTTAAAACCTTTTAAAAAAATTTAGGGAAGGGGGCAGCTAGGGTTGTGGCACAGTTGTAGAGCACTTGCCTAGCATTTGTGAGGCATTGGGTTCCATTCTCAGCACCACATATCAAAAAAATAAAGGTCCATTGACAATTAAGAAATATTTAGAAAAAAAAAATTTTTTTGGCACTGGCGATTGAACTCAGGGCATTCAACCACTGAGCTACATCCCCAGCCCTATTTTGTATTTTATTAGAGCTGGACATGTACAAGGTCTCACTGAGTTACTTAGCACCTGGCTTTTGCTGTGGCTGGCTTTGAACTTGCAATCCTCCTGCCTCAGCCTCCTGAGCCGCAGGAATTACAGGTATGTGCCACTGCACCAGACTCTAAACCTGTTTTCAAAAGCATGGTGTATTTGAAAGCTTAGTGTATTTGATCCTGTTTTATGGCTGCTTCATGCTTCATTCCTCACAGAGAAGTTCTTGGTAGTATGGGCTTGGTTAGTGTGTTTGTACTGGTGGATGTGGTTAAGTCAGAATCCACTGGTGTTGATACAAGTGTTTAAGGAAGACCTGAGAACGCCACACCCAGTAGGTTTTTTCCCTTACATGAACTGATTAAAAATTTTGAGGGGGGCTGGGGATGTGGCTCAAGCAGTAGCGTGCTCTCCTGGCATGCGTCGGGCACTGTGTTCGATCCTCAGCGCCACATACAAATAAAGATGTTGTGTCCACCGAAAACTAAATATATATATAAATAAAATAAAAATTTTGAGGGTGGGTGGTTGTGAGAGCTAGTTTAAAAGTGCAATAATGGCTGGGGATATAGCTCAGTGGTAGAGCATGCATGTCACACTGAGTTCAATTCCCAGCTCCAAAAGAGTAAGTGGGAAAACAAGGCAGGTTGGACTTCACAATTCAACAAGCAAAGCGTGCTTTCGTGGCAAACTGAAAGAGGAGCAACCAAGGGTTATGAAAAGCAGGCTTTCCGGCCCTCACTCTGTTCCCAATTTTTGGTTGTGGGAATCTGTTCTGAATCCAACTGCAAGTGGAAAACCCTTCTTTGGCTCAGCAGCCAGGCAAGCCATGCTGCCAATCCTCCAAATGGGCTGCTGAAACTTTGGCTCTGTGAGGCTGGAACTGGGGCTATCTTCCCAAGATCTGTGCAGCTATCAAGGTGGCTGTGACGTGATTGTGATTGGTCTCTGCACTGCTTTTTGGCAGTGACCTTGAGACCAGCTAGATCACCACTACTGCTCCAGTTCTTGTGATTTGGTCCTTTGCTTCCACTGTTGTAACACCAGGGGGCTGATGGGAGGGAGAATTTTCTGTTCCTCCCTTTCCCAGTGTCTGGCAGGTGTCAAACTGTGGTGCCAGCTCTCTGTGCCTACCACCCACTGGGCAGTCCCTTATGAGGGGGTCTTGTGAATGTGGGTGGTTTGTTCCATCCCTGGCTCAGATACCTCTCCTAGTCCCTGGGAAGCCAGTGGCTGTGCCTGACCACTAAGCGGGTGCACAGGCAGGCTCCACAGGCAGGCTCCACGTGGGCATCTGCTTGTCAGTTTTGCAGAGAAATGCTCAGTGACAGCTGATGATCTTGGGAGAGAAAGGAGCCAAAAGTGCCCTTTTGTCCTACAGGTACAAGTCAGAATCTGCCTTCTGGTTAATCAGGGATTTCTTTGTAATTGACAGTCATCAGAAATGTCCATAGCAAGAGAGAGAAATCTTTTCTCTCTAGACAGTGGCAAGTGTATTTTTAAAACGCCACCCCTTCTCCTTGTCTTCATCCTGTCCTTTTCCTTTTAAGTGGCTTTATTGTTGTTTTTTAATCTGCCTTTGTCATTGGACATTTATTGACAGAAATCAAATTGCTGTGTTTCTGGGCAGAGCGCCTGCTGCAAAGAGGTGTGGTTCCAAGGAATGAGACACGCAGCCCAACAGCTGAGCCTACACTGTCCTCACATAACCTCCCTGCCTTAAATATCGCCAATATTTCGCCTTGCCTTATAAAGTAAAAATGCACAATACCTTCCAGAGTTTCAGCAAGCCCAAATGCCCCCCTAGGCTTAGTTATGTCTCCTGTATGTTGGAGGTTGAACCGCACACCCCTCCCCCATGGAGACCTACCCTTGGAGCCACCAAGAGGTTACTAATCAGGGAGACTCCACCATGGATCCAATGGTGGCGACCTGGGGGATTTGTGTGCATTGTTTTTGCTGAAGCCTCCTGTGATTTCCGCGCGACCAGATCCTCTGCAGAGAACTCCATGTCGCAGCTTGTGACTGCCTGTGTCCTGTGGTGAGAGCAGAGCTGCACAGGAGATCCTTTGTCTAGGAAGGGCTAGGCTGAGAAGATCACTTTGGAGTTGCTAAGCTCTGCATTGCCATTGGCTGCACTCTTTGTGGGGCTGTTTTTGCAAAAGGCATGCCCAGCACGTCTACAGTGCTGGCAGGCCAGGGCTGCCTTTAAACACCATGATAATAATACCAAAAGCAGTTTGCAGAACTGTTCCACTGTAGAGGCTTCCTCTGCAGAAGCAAGCAAGATGGCTACCTCGTGGGCTTCGCTGTGAAGAATGCAGAGGCTAATTAAGACAGACTTTAAGGGGAAAAAAGGGTATTTCCCTACCTCATCTTAATAGAAAAAAATTTTTTTAGTGACTTTAAAGTATACATTTTACATAAGATTTTTAGGTTCTGCCTAGCAAACATGTTGATGATTTTTAAATGGTATAAATAGTTTTACAGAGAAATAGTCAAAAAATTGGGGGGGAGTGGGAGCTAATTTTTTTTCTTGATGGAGGCTCATTTTCCAATTTGATTTTTTTTTTTTTTTTTTAGGTTATAAAAGAAAACAAGAGGCCCCAGAGGGAAAAGAAGCCCAAAGTTTTAAAGGTAATCAGCTGTTGATTAAATAATATTTATTTTTTTTTTCCATTTCATATAGTTTTTTTTTTCTGTCACCTGAGGGTAAATATGGAATACAGTGGATGTGTATTCTCCCAGATTTTTAGTAGATTAATGAATTTTCACTCAAGTTTTTTTCTTTTTTTTTTCTGATGTACTGCATAATGTGCATATTAGCACCCTTTATTTTCAACTCCCAGAAGTCTGCAGAAGGAAAAGTTTATATGCAAAGTGTTGTGAATAAAATTAATTTTTCTTTATATCCCCCTTTGTAACATCTGCATTTGTGTTGTTGCACCAGTGTGTGTACTTAAGCTGGTGTGTGTACTTAAGCTTTTTAGGAGAAAGGTACTATTTGAAGTTGACAGCTAAGATCCATTGTGATTTTAATTGACCATCCATTAAAGACTATTTTAAAATGTGTGATTATTTTCCCAAAGAGAAAAGGTTCTTAGAGATTTTAGTTCAACTTAAAATGTGTAAGTCTTGAGATCTTACAGCCAGATTATAATTGCTTAATATAATTCTCATTATATCATCTTTAATTTTGGAATTCTTAGAGCTATAGGAATAAGAATGTTTTCTTTATATTCTATAGATTGACTGATGAGTATTTAACAGTAACCTAATTTGGTTATAAGCTAACAATCCATGTTATAAGCTTTGTACAGTATTTAGAAGGGTTAATTTAAAAGCATATGGCATCACTAAAAGTTCAAGGCTAGCATTAGTCTTGCAAATAGGTGCTTATGTGCTTAAGCTTTCAAGTGGCATATTGCTACTCTAAATTTTAGCAACATTTTTATCTCAAGAAGAAATAGCAAGCAATAAAAAATTGCTTGTAAAATTACATTGTATATATTTAATTTAAAATATTTTACCTAATTGTAACTTCTCTTTTGCAAATAGTTTTAGCCTCAAAGAGGAACAACATCTTGAACCATGACTATGGCAGAATTTTATCTTGTTTGTCTCCCTAGTTGTGTGAGTTGAAAGTGTTTACATTAGAACCAAACCTTGTGTTGATTTCTAATTTGGCTGACCACCTTGAGTTTCTGTTTCCTGTGTATACACAGTGTTGGCATGTACATTTTTCATCAACCAACAAGTATTTATTTCATATTTACCACACAGTCAGCAATGTGCGAGACACTGTGAAATGAATGAAATTGCTTGGCACAAATTCTCTTAGGGCCTGGACAAAATGAATAGTGGTTATTTTCAAGACAAATTTAACCACCTTCCCTTCTCTCATCTGTGGAGTCCTTCTTAGATCTCTATATACTTTGTGTATTGGGTAAATCTATCTCAAGCATTAAGTTTTGCATGAGAATAGTTTCAGTCTTGGAAAAAAAAGAGTCTACATGTAGAAACAAATAGACAGTAAGTCATTTCCCACCTTTGCTAGGAATTGGGCTTTGGGAGTGCTATTTAGTTCTGTTTATTATGTTAATCTGTGAGTGTTCTGTCACTTGAAATAAATTTGAGAAGTAAATATACCACGTGTTGCTTTTGGAAATCGTGAATTCTTGTAAATTTATTTTTAAGTACCTGTGAGTGGCCGTATGTCATCTGTCCTAGCAAGCAGAACTGAATTGTTTACTTTCCCTCCATAGTTATTAAAGTAATGAAGGCAAGGAAAATGCTCTAAGAGAAAAAATTAATTGTTTTGATATAGGCACTTCAATTTTTAAAAACTTTACACACACACACACACACACACACACTCCTTTTCCAAGCTTTGTTTTTCTTCTGTACAGAAGAATGTTAAAAGCCTTCAGATTAAAATTCAGCTAGACAGATGTAGAATATTATATAACCCTAAAAAAGATGGCAAGTGTGTTTGAGAAAGGAGGGAGAGTAGGAAAAGACTATGAATTTTTAAGGTTTTGTTTTGTGGCTTTTGTGGCACTGCTCCACTGAACAACATCAGACTCTCCCTAAGTTGCCCATGTTGGTCTTTAACTTGTTATTTTCCTGCCTCAGGCATTATAGGTCTGTATCACTGCACCTAGATCAGTTTAGGTTTTAATGCATAAGGACCTAGATATTCTACCTGGATTCTCCCTAGAGATTCAGTGATGGGAATCTACAGGTTATAAATTGGACTCTTTTCATAATTCTTTGTCCTTGCTTTGGCATTGAATCAAAGATCCAGTCTGCTTTCTTTGATTCTGGTTCCTTAGATCTTCAAATCCCCCGTGTCCCGTTGCAGAGTGGTTGGTGTAGGTACTATGAATAATTGTTTACCTTTATCATTTCTTAGAAAGTAGCCAGGTGTTTGAATAATTACAAGGAGGAAATTGGGTATAGAATTTGAGGGTTATTCCATTCTGCTCTGAACCTGGTCCCTATTGAATCCAGTTGCAGGGTTGAAATTGCTTTGTCTCATACCTCTCTTTCTCTTTGTACCTGGGATTGAACCCAGAGGCACTTAACCACTGAGCCACATCTCCAGCCATTTTACTATATATATATATGAGACAGGGTCTTGCTAACTGGTTTAGGGCCTCTCTAAGTTTCTGAGTGAGAAACACTCACTCAGAAATTGTTATTTAAATGTATACCTACATTCATTCAATTGTACTTCAAAATTTAAAGCTTTAAGTAGTGATGTCTATTTTTTTGTAATCTTCCTCTTGCTGAAGTGTTTCCTTCCTAATGCTTTATGGCCAGCGAGGCATCAAATATCAAATATGAGAGGCAGGGTTGGGTGGTAATCATTGTTATTTTCACATACGGATGGCAACTTCTTAGCCATGCTGTACTAGGAAACATAAGACTTTGTTTGTGTGTGTGTGTGTGTGTGCGCGCAAGCAAGAAATTATCAAACCTACTCTCTCATGCATGGTAGGCAAGCTCTCTACTGCTGAGATACAATGGTTCAGATACAAAATAAAGAAATATGAATTTTTTATTTTGAGACAGGATCTTGCTAAATTGCCAAATTTGGCCTGCTAATTAACTTGCTAGCCTCCTGCCTCAGCCTCCTGAGTAGATAGGATTACAGATGTGCACCATTTGACTAGCTTGATTCTTGACTACAGTAGAAGTATGAACTAGTTTTCAGTTCATGATTCATGAACTTGGTTGTCACTACATGCCTTGGAATTCCTTTTGAAAGAAACATTTATGTTAATATTTTTCACTTTGTGTGTATGGCAGAGGGGATGACTTAGGGGGATATATTTCCTTAGAGAAAGTCAGTTTTTAAGGTAGTATAAAACTTTGATTGGTAGTCTTTTTCCCTGGAGAAAATTGGCACAATCAGTTTGAGCAAAATTTCATAAAGGGAACATTTTACTTATTTATGTATTTATACTGGGGTGCTTTACCACTGAGCCACATCCCTAGCCCTTTAAAAATACACACACAAACACACACAGAAGAATCGAACCCAGTGCCTCACACATGCTAGGCAAGCACTCTGTCACTGAGCCACAACCCCAGCCCCTAGTCCTTAGCTGGGTCTCACTGATTTGCTTAGGGCCTCTCTAAATTGTTAAGGCTGACTTTGAACTTGTGATCCTTCTATCTCAGTCTCCTGAGCCACTGGGATTACAGGTATGCACCATTGCCTGGCTAAAGGGAATATTTTAGAGGTGTGAGCAGAATTTAAAAAATAGCTAATGATGGTAAAAGATAACAGGGCTAAAGAAGGCAGAAAGCTATTATGACTGGGCTGGAAGGGCAGAGGAGTGGGGGAAGGAACTCAGGTGGAGTGGTAGCTGAACAGAAGGAGAAAGTTTTTTGTTATTGTTTCCATTTTGTACAGTACCAGAGATTGAACCAAGGGGTGCTCTACCACTGAACTATGTACACAGCTTTTTATTTTTTATTTTGAGACAGCGCCTTGCTAAGTTGCTGAGGCAGGCTTTGAACTTGATCTTCCTGCTTTTGTCACCAGAGTCCCTGGGATTACTGCTGTGGGCCAGGATATCCAGCTATGATCACAGATTTCTCTTGTGGTTATTCTTAGAGGGGGACTTCTACATGGAATCATGGTGGGGAATAAAACCCTGGCCTCCAGCCTTCTCCTGTTTTCAATGGTCAACCCCAATGGGAAGCCATAGAGAGGGAAAGGAAGTTTTCTGATGAACTGTATCCAGGTCAGCTTCCTGGAATGCATATGAATGTATAGAAGGTGGAATGTGGACCTGAACATATTCAGCATTACTAGTAGCTAGGAGGGCTGTACTTACTGTTGGGTCAAAAGGAGGACCCAAATCATGATCATGAGGATGGTAACATTCGATGAGGCTGTGTGATTGCTGTATAAGAATTCTATACTGCTGGGGATGTGGTTCACTGCAGAATGTTGATCACCATTTGCAAGACCCTGCCTTTAATTCCCTCTGGAATACAAACAAACAAACAAACAAAACACTCTATACTATATTTGCAATTTGTGTCTTAATTTAAAAATCACCTCAAAACCAAAAGTGTGAGCATCTTGAGGAGAAGACCTTGGCAGTCAGGGTACATTTTCTAGCTATTTGGTTATAAAATATCTTTGAAAGAACTGGGTGAACAAATATAAAGAAATGTCAGTGAATTTTAAACCAGGAAAGTGTCTACAGAGACTGATCTATTAAAAAAAAAAAAAGAAAGAAAAAGAAAAGAAAGAAAGAAAGAAAGAAAGAAAGAAAGAAAGAAACAACATGATCTTGCTGCTGGTTCTGCACTGGCAGCCCTTCTCTCCACTGTTTCCTTCCTTGATGATGCTGATAAAGAGGAAGAGCTAGCCATGCGGGGAGTGGGGGACATAAAGCCTGTATCACTAGCAAAGGACAGGATACTTGTATATAGTATAACTACATGTCATTTGTTTTAAAAAGAATCAAATCATAAATAAATGAGTCACATTTGTACATGCTCTCAGTTGGCATGACAGTGATTTTCAAAATATTTAGGACCATTACCAAGCCTCTATTAAATGTTTCAGAAGGGATCTGTTCTGAATAACATTATTAATATTTACTAAATAT